ACAATGCCATTTAATGTGAGCGTACCATAACCCGTAATTTGCTAAACCACCCATTTTTTTAGCAATATGTTATTTATTATGTCCCGCGATTTAGAAAGCCCCAATAGGACTATTTGTATTTTAAAATAAAGATTGAATTTGGCGACCTTTTAGATCTACATCAACGTTCCTTGTCGATCATGTTCTATTGTTACGTGTTGGAAATAACGCAAAAGGTACATTATCTAAACACATGTTTTCTGAGATAATGTCCGCCGGGATCTTTCTCTGCCGGTATCCGGTAAATCTCAAATTCAGGTTAACCTCATAACATATTTCGTGTTCGTAGGATTACCGAAGGTGCGGGTTAAACCGACACCTTATCCAAGGCCACTTCACAAAATGTCAATAGTCGCTAAAGTGTTAATTCAATTGATAAACATACACAATATACAGAGGGCGCACAACCATTCAATCATGTCAGCCAAGATAAAGAGCTATTTATCTGAAGTGTATATGCGCATGCGCAACAATATGCAAATCGCCAATTTGACCTAGATACCAGTAGGAAGTAAACTCGCCAGTTCGAGGACGTGTGTTTTCTACGGAGTAAACGGTAAGTTTTTATCTTGTACTGTCTTTGTTGTGACTCTGCTTTTTATGCAATTCAGCATTAATTTATCGAGCATGAACTATAGAATAGCTTGAATGCAGCATTTGAGTCAGGACGGTAATTAAAACGGCTTAATTTTAGCGATCATTTTCACCGACTCGTGTATTGAAAACAGCTAGCTTCGGTCTAGCCCTTGTTCATGGCGCAATCGTGCTGTCAGTGTCTGCAGTTGAGAAAAGACAATGATCTCACAAATTAACAATGTCAATATTTTTTAAGCACTTTTTTTCTGTTTTTGACCCCTTTTCATTTCGGTCTCTTCGCCCATGCATGACGTTCTGATATTGTACAGTTCCGGTAACACAACAAATTCTTATTATGGTATTTTTCTTTTTATGATCTGGTTGTAGGCGTATTCTCACCTATTTTTCTTCATCTGAAGGTGTAATAAATTAATAGTAAAGCGATAATGGTTTTCTGCTGTGTTCCGGGCTGTAGCAGTCAAGCCAAACCACGCAAAGGGAAACCGTATGGAGACGATGTTTCGTTTTTCAGCATACCAAGGAAGCCCTTTTCCAGATACAAGACATTCGTACATGCTATAGGAGGGGACGACAAATTGAGGCCTACAAAATATTCCCGTGTTTGCAGCAAACATTTTATAAATGGAAGAAAGATTGATTTACCAGAATCGAAAAGTTATACACCAACACTTGCTCTTCCAAATAGATCACAACAGAAAAGAACTCATCGCCGAAAAAAATACTTGCAAGGGAAAGTTGGTAAGTTAACTTTTGTGAACTTTGTCTAGCTTTCATGGCGATGCTTGAACCAAAATTTTTAAGTAAAAGTAACTTCATTTCTGAAATGATTTTTTTGAGACATTACTGCTTAAAATTTGGTGGAAGCAGCCCTAAACAAAGATGAACATGGTAATGAGGATTCTGCAAATGTAAGCATTTTAATCTCAATACCTTTCCTAGTTTCATACCATGCTGTGTGGCTGTCTAAACTAGAGGCTTCAAAGTTAGATACAAGGTTGATCCTTATTGACCGACCCAACCCCAACCGTAAACACAAAGCCTATCAGGAAGCGGGCTTACATCCATCTCGATTTTTCAACCTACTGTAAAAGGGGTAATTATTTACTGGGTTTTAATTTTGCTTATTTCCCTGACTGCAAAATTCGCTAAATTAAAACCCAGTGAATATGTAATATGGAGTATAGAACACATTATCTTAATAACGAAACCCTGAATTAAAAAACCCACTGAATATGACTGAAATGCTAAATCAACGAAATTTAAAACCAGTGAAAATTATTCACTTTACATTATCATAATTGTACCTTGTATCATGCTTCGACTCAACTTCTGGAATTGACATTAATTGTATCAACATGATAGAGTTTTAACCGATTATCAAGCTATCAGCAAAAATATTTTAATTTTAACAATTTTCTCCCAGCAGAAACATAAGCTAGTAACATAATAAACATGCTTTGGTAATGAAAATTAATTTGTGTGACTTTATGATATTTTTGTAGGCGTCAGAGCCAGATTCCCCTGCACTCTGTACCAAATCCGATGATGAATCAATATCAATGAGCAGTTGTTCACAGTTCTGTGAGGAGGTAGGTTTGTGACATTTTGGGTTTTTGTCAACCACCAATCCAATGTAAATTTTACCAATGTTTTTTTTTTGGTCAAATGTGTACTTTTGTGCAACTGTGGACTTTTGTTTGTCTAGGGTGCTATTGTGAACATTTGAATACCAAGACCATATTTTATAACAAGGCAGATTTAATTGAAACTATTTTACTATCCAACAACGTTTTGTTGATGGGATTTTTTCCTCCTATTTTAAATCATTTTTAGTGTTAATGAATTAAAACTAACCTTTTATAAACCTTTTATTTTTCAGACACCAATCCTCACCTATGACACTGGGACACAGTATGATATCAGTGATATCTTAGACTCCACACATCATTCAGTCGTACAAAATGAACATGATCACAGTTTCCCATTACAGTGTTCAGAAATTGCATCTTTGGAGTTGCATTGTGCTAGTTTAGCAGAACAGTTGGAAAAACAAACAGCGGATTTTTATAGTATGAAAGTGAAAATATCTGAGCTTTTGGAAGAAGTGGGAAACTATCGAAAAAAAAATTTCACTTGAACGTATAAAAAGTGATGACAAGGCTGTAAAGTTTTATACAGGTTTCCAAAACTTAAATGCTTTGATAGCATTCCATGGCTTTCTCAAAACTAAAGCTGAGAAGTTGCAATATTGGAGGAATTCGAGTAAGGTGACAGAATCACAGAAGTATCAAACTATGAACAAAGGTAAACCAGGCCGTAAACGAAAGATGTCCACCATGGAAAAGTTAGTTATGGTCTTAGTTAGGTTGAAAGTAGGATTGTTTGTTGTGGACATTTCAGACAGGTTTGACATTAGTTCTAGCCAGTTTTCTAGAATTTTCACAACTAGGATAACTTTTCTCAGCCATGAGCTGAAACTTTTATTTCCCTTTCCAACACAAGCTCAGATTAAGGAAGCTTTACCAGACGAGTTTATGCAGTTTGTCACAGTGTAAGTCCTGCTTATCGCAATTGAGAGGACCATCCACAGAACTCACACTGGACAGGGGCTTCTTTCACTGCTATTATGGGGTGGACAAGACAATAGTACTGGAAATGAAATACACATACACCAAAGTATCGTGTTAAAGCTCCTGGCTTTAATACCTCTCAAAATAATTACAAGAAATTAAGCGCAGAGAAATACAATGAATAAAGTCACTAAAATAGGGGATTGCTTAGGGAAGTGTGCATTGGTGATAACTCACAGTTTCAGGATGTATTATTGGACGACAGTCAATGGCTTCTACAACACAATAACGGAGAAATACAGGAGTCTTGCTTGCAGAGGAACGCTGGTATTCTCGAGGGCACCGCTGGAAGCAGGAGATCGCAGATCAGTTCATACAAGTCTCACAGAATGATGGTTGTAGCCTGTAATATCGTATCATAGCAGAACAAACATGAAAGCAAGCAAGTGACGGACACCAAGTTGAAATGATCGACCCTAAACTGTCCTGAGTCTGTCCAATTTACAGGCAGTGACACCACCTGGGTTTCCACATTAGCCAATCAGAATGTGATCTTGCTCGCAGCTGTGTCACGTAGGCAATGCAGTAGATCATAAACGTCTATTGTTATTCAAATAACAGCACACCCGGTAGATTCCATTTCTTCTTCCAAAGTTGTAAACACCCTTTGTTATGTAAATTACAAGAACACCTGTTATAACCCACTGCCCTTCCAGAGTTGAAAACAAGTATGACCTGTCAATCACCTTTATGACAGTTATCACAATGCACACCGTTTCTTCCCATGATTCCATGCATACTTCCATTTGCAGGGTTTGAGGTAATACGACAAAAACATGAAATAAAGGATGCTGACACAGTTCCCTACAACCAGAGTTATTATTGACTGTACAGAGGTGTTTGTTGAGGTGCCTTCATCTTTACTGGCCCAAAGTCAAACTTAGTCAAATTACAAGCACCACAACACCTTTAAGTCACTTGTTGGTATCTCTCTCTCTTGGTTTATGTGATAAGCTGGACCCAGGTGACAATGTAATGGCTGACAGAGGGTTTGAAATTAAGAGTATTTTCCCAGCAGGTTTTTTACTTTATTGCACCTTGTCCAGATTAAATTCATTTTTTAGAGACTGGCCATAGATAAGTAATTTTATAATACCTTAAATCTAGATGCATTCATAGCCAACATGTAACCAATAAGAAAAGTTTTATTCTGTAGTTTGCTAAACAAAATAGCCACTTATCATCTGTGTAACGCTTTCTTTATTGATGTTAGAAAACTGAAAAATGTATAACAATCTGTTTTAAATTTTATAGGCTCTAATAAGTTATTGAAGAGGTTTTAAATAATTGCATTAAATGAGCTGTAAATAGTTTTTGAAATTAAATACATGTATAAATAATAGAATACAAGAAGTGGTTTCTGTCATTCACCTGCAATGCGTCCCCCCAATAAAATACTGCAGAAGTTTCAAATACATGTAATTGTATTTTATGCATGGTTTTACAATGAATGAATTGTAAATAGTTTTTCAAATTAAATAAATACATGTGTAAATAATAGAATCATTATTTATCTCCCCTTTGTTTCCCTGTTCCCTGCTATTATGAATTTTGTCGCATTTCACAAAGTAGACTGTTTTCTCCCCAAGAACTAGACACAATAAATAGATCTACTCAGTATTTGTCCATTGTAGACATGACATTATAGTTTAATTTTTTTATATGGTTTCCATCCTCCATAAGATATAGTTTTCTTCCCCTTTTGACTCGACGAGTGACGATCTCTGACAGAAATGCATTATGGTAAAATTGGTTGATAGCAGGGAGGATGCTAGTATGCCATGCCTTGTCATTGAATTGGATGCGCTGCACAAAAATATCACTATCGTTACCAAACCACACAACAAAATCAACCCACGTATATCTGCCCTTGTATTTGAATATAATAGTCATGTGTTTCTTTTAGCGTCACTGAGCCACTGCTGTTGAATCAAACACTATTCTGTCAAGGTTGGCTCCGTAATCTGGGTTTTCTTTGCACAGTAGAAGCCCGACTTCATGAACCTCAACACTGTTATTGCCATCCTGTTTTTTCTTGTCTACATATGCCATGACAGCATCCTCTTCATGTCTTTTGCCATATTCTATGGCATACGTTGAAAATTGTGGTCTGTATAAAACTGAGTCCAGTAGTTTATCTGATTTTGATTGCCTCTTCATGTATTTTCCAAAATTTGATGAAGTCATCTTTGTTCTTCTTACATGCCATTTAGTGTTGTCAGCCTGCCCACGTGTCAGTTTTTCTGTCAGTTCTATGGAATCTTGTGTACTTGAATTTGAATTTCTGCTTGCAACATACTGAACAATTTCATGAAATGCAGGTGAACTAATATCATAATCATCACTAAATGGCATACTATCATTTTCTGTGGGTATGTCTTTTTCATTGCATACATGAGTTTGGGACTCAGCACAACTAGGGATTTCATAACCCTGTTCCTCTATTACCATAGATTGTGGTATTCTTTGGTGATAGGTGAGGGGTGATACACCATGAAACAAAAACAGAGAAGAGTGCATCACTGACTGCTTAATTGTTGCACATAATTTACCCACAGCTTCTTGGTCCAGTGCTTTGGTTTGACGCCCGGTGATCATATTGATTAGTTGATGATTTCTTTGAAATATCTTGACCATACTGGTATTTCCGTATTGTTAGCAAATGTACTGGTTCACTGGTCACTTGTAGTGTTCTTGGCTTTGTCCATTTGCACAGCATACTGGTACAGACAGGCTCTGCATGGTTCTTCAAGCGCTTTCTACAAAAATCTCCCAGGGCAAAGCGCATCGATGTCACATGATTACACTTTCCTAAACCATCAATACCTTTTCTGAAAATTAAAAATGAAGCTATTACGATAAACATTGCATAGATTCAAAATGTAGAATACTCATATCAGGAAGCCATAGTTAAAGCAGTGTTTATTTGAACAACTCCTTACTAAAACGTAATACGTCCATGCAACTATATATATTTTTTTTTTCATATTGCAAAATGCATGATGCAATATTTTTGAGGAACCACTGCAAACACATTTTTGGCCACTTGAAACATCACGACAATAATAATATTAATAAAGTTTTTCTTTAGTTTTTAGCCCTGAGACCAATGTTATAAAATATTGTTAGCCTTATTTTATATGTGTAGTGTCCATTACTTTGCTTTGTCTTAAATAGAAAAGGCTTGTCAGACTATACCCTGTTTTTCACACATCTATTTTATTCACTAAATACAAACACGGAAGTGTAATAGATCACTTACCAAGCAGGACACTCACAAGCTGCTTGTTTTGCTGAACAGTCATTTTTAGTTTCACCACGGATCTGTAATTTGTCTTTCTCATACTTGCTTTCACTCTTGCTTGTATAACTGTCGTACTTTCTTCGACAGCCACCACCATCTAACTGATGTGTCCCTCGGCGGAATATTTAAAAGCTTTCAGCTGTTTATATCCGGCCTTACCCATTGAATTCACCGCATATTTTTTTCTGAAACTACGACCAGGTAATGGTAGAGCTGCAGAAAAGTGAAAGCTGGAATCAGACGAAGATTTGTTGACCATGCTTTTTCTTCAGCTGAAGAAAGCAGGCCATCAACAAACCAAGCGTGATCATGTTCTTGTTGACCGGCAGAAGTTGTCGACGGCAAATCTTGTCCTGTATCGTCTGCGTCTTTTGACGGCGCTTCGCTAGAAATGGCAGCAAACGTCCTAGCAACGAGATCATTTTTGTTTCCTCCGACCTTGAGTGCATTTAACTTTAGTACTTCTTTGAGTTCTTTCGCGGTTTTGTTCTTTAGTCGATCGATTTCTGTAATGTTGTTATCGTGTACCATAGCGAATGCGATGAAAACACAATATGAGTAGCACTTCCGCATAGCATCTAGCTCAACTCGTATATGTTAATGACATGCAAATGAAACATCCGGGACATTCGCGAGATTGTGCAAAACGTATATTGTAAAGTTTAACTGGATATGATATCGGCGAGGGCGCAATAACAAATGTAATGTTATTTTAGTCATCATTACGAATGCGTATGTAATAAATTAGTATATGTCGTTATAACTGCATATTTATGTAATGTATACTTACAGTCGCTAGACAAGCACTCCGCCACAATCGAATCATTGAGTATTAGTTGAAATGACACCATTATAAATATATGCACACAACAACAACAATATAGTTGACGATAAATTAGTAAATTATAAATATATTTATATAGTTTTTTTAGACTGGGCCAAGAAAGTAGGTTTATATGAAAAGTGGATGATTTCTACCATGTCAAACCAGTAGTGCAACAGTTCAAGGTGCGTGATTTCCGCTTAATAAGTTGAATTCAAGGTGCGTGATTCTCGCTTCATAAGTTGAACGTAAAACAACGACAAATTCAGAGTTGCCCCGTCAACTTAAACTGAAAATATACAATGGGCACCGTAGTATATCAGTTCTTTGAGTTCAGCGTAAAACGACAGCTAATTAGGAAATTTCCACTGTTTACACTGGACGTATCAAACGCACAACTTCTAAATTTCCGTCGTTTCAGTTTCGACGGTTACGTGAGGGCAATTCGAACGTTTATTTACCCAAATGTAAACAACGGATTTACTGCAAAACACGTTGTTAATCCGGCATGCGGTTACAACGTAAATTCGAATTTTTGTTAGATTTAGTTCTAGGGCTGGGCCAATATTGCAATTTGTGTTGTG